CATAGAAATGGTAAAAAACGAAGTTTTGTTTTCTTTCTTAGAACGTTATGGTAGTCTTCCAGAAGGTGTTGTACAATATTTCTTTAAACAGCTTATTTGTGAAATGGTAAAAATAGACTTAACAAAAAAAAATTAATTTCTTAAACTTTTTCTTTGTAGGCTTATATTCACAGTCTTGATGTTGTACATCGAGTTTGAGAATCATTTAATTAGATTCATTAATTTTTTTCTTTGTAATTAGATCTTAAACCAGAAAATATTCTCATATAGACATTGGACTAGCGACTTTGTTTAGAAATGAAACTAGGGTGGGTGTCGGTGTGGGGATTAACATTGAGAAAAGCACACTCACAACCTCCCACACCCTATAAAATGAAAAGAAAGATATTTATTGAATATATATGGGATAATTTTGTGATGAAACAAGATCGAAACCACCGCCATAAAAAACAGGAATAAGTATTGTTTGTTCTGTATTTTTAATACGAGTTATTGTTAATATTTGTCTTTCTTGAAAATTTTTAGTGTTAAAAATAAATTCTTTGGGTGTCCATTCAAAACTATCAGTAAAATTCATTGGTTTCCATTGAATCGTAAGAGTATCATTTCCATTTATTTGATGTGGAGGAGTTCGAAGCCAAACTTGAATTTTTGTACTTTCTTCTAAATTTATCTTTATTGTTTGTGGATAATATAAAACTCCGAGATTAATATCTAGGCAAGTGAGAGACCATTGTTTTGGAATTGAATTAAAGTATTTGTCATCTGGTTTTCCTATTGATATAACTGTAAAATCTATTGTTACTTGAATAACTCTCCAGTTTGTACGACGAACTTCAAGTAATCGAAGAGGAATATCAGTATTTTTTTTAAAATAAATTTCTTGACATGGATAAGTTTGTCCACTATCAGTTCGACATCTTACATTTGAATACCAATAATCTTCATCTAAAGAAGAATCATTTGAATGTATCATTTCAGATGTAAAATTCATATAATTTTTTATTTCAAATGAAGTTCCATTATTCCAATGGGATGGAAACCAATTCAATTCACTTCCACCATATTTCCAATATGTCATATACATACATGAATTCATTGGAAATAGTTCATATAATTGTACATAAGATTTTGATTCGGGAGAATCAGGAATTGCATATGGAAAATTTTTCATCACAAAGGCAGTTGCTGTCGATGGAGGATTCAAATGGTATGTTACATAAGCTCGTTGATTTATTTCATCGATCGCCATTATTTGTTGATCAATACCAAAAGAAAATACAATTTGAGGCGGAAAATATGGTGGAGCACAATTTCCCAAACCATTGTAAAGAATAAATAATAATAAACAAAACAAGATTTTCATTATTTAAATATCTAAAAATAGGAATAAATTTCCTTCTATTCGATATTGTAATGACAAGCAAAACAAAGTGTTTCATTTACTCATTTGAATGTTCAACTAATCATATATTTAGTTCTATCTGTATTGAACAATACCATTTGATTACAAAACTCATATAGACATTTCTAACCTGTTGAAGACAAACAAAGAATGTATCTTGATGAAATAATGAGTTAGCGAAAAGAAAGCACACTGTTTTATGTTTTCGTTCTTATATTTATCTAATTTTTGCTTTTAAAACATTATTTAATCACCTGTGTTACACTTCCATTGCCTTTGTTCTTTTCTCTTTTGACAAAAAAAAGCGATTTTTTTTCCTTGCATATTCAAGCAAAATGACAAAGTGAAAAGAAAATTATCCGCCAATCAAGAAAAGCTATCGAAGAGAATTTAAATAAAAAGTCGTACAAGTATGAATAGAGAGTCTAACATCAAATCTAAAATTTTGAATAATCTACAAACAAATCATGATGATGCGAAGAAACAACATATTGCTTAAGGAAGTGACCTCATAGTTTATTATTACTCGAAATTTTCATTGTGTGTTTTGGGTGTGGGTATGGCTATGGCTGTGGGACCCACAAGCGCATCCCAAACACCCACACCCTAATTTTTTCACTTTTATTAAGTTTTTGAAAAGACTGATTGATATTTAAAAAATTGATGAACTTAATACAAGATGAATAGATATAAGAATTTTTCTGTCGTTTAAATAATACACGTGTTAGATATAACAGAATATAAAAACAATCATCTTCCGTTATGTACAAACTCGTCTACTTTCTACTTTTAGCAAATAAATATGCACCCACTGAAAGTATATTTTGATTTATTAAAAGATCTATTCAAGTATACACAATCAAGTTTAGGGAGGGGAGTGAAATGCAACCACTAACAACGAATACTCATTCTACGAGAATGTCATTGAATCAGATATGTCAATTGCGACACCCGTTGCTCCCTGTTTTTTACAAAGATATTGCAAAACTGTATGAGTTTGCACGGAATTTCAGTATCCACAAATTTAATACTCTGACACTCGATGAATCTCATGGTTTTGAAACATTTCTTTTTGAATGCCATCGTAGCATCGCCAGATTTTTAGCCACGATAGATATATCTACGTTAAATAATAATGTAAAGTTTCCGATTTCAGCACAGGAAATGACTATATTATGGTATTGGTTCTAGATATCATTCTGTCACTAGTATTGTAGCCTTTAATCTTTTTCTTCTGCTGTTTGTGTTCATTTCTTTGATATAAAAACTTAAATATGATTATCGGGAGTGATGATGAAACCACTCTTTCATTTTATCGCTGCAACTACTTTCTTTTATTTGATATCTATTTGATCAATAATAATATCAACAAGTTCTCTTTAGAATCATTTTATCGAAATCATTTGTTCTAATTTGTAAAAGATAAATTCTAATTTCGGAGAATTTTACGCTTTTAAGTTAAATGAAAAAAAATATTGCTCACCGAATAACAAATGTAAACTTTCAAAATAAAAATGTTTGTTCTATTTTTTTTTGCTGGTGTGTGGGTGGTATTATTTTTTCACATACCCACCCACACCCAACAAACCAGCCATGCAAAAAAAGGTGATTATTGGTAACCATAATCGTCGATACACATAAAATGAATTGATCCGTAAGCGATCTAAACAAGCTTTATTACAGAATACAATAACTCAAAGTAAGTATTTGCCAAAAATACAAAAACTGATATTACACAAGGTGACTAAATGCCTTTCTTTTGACATTTCATCACAAAGAACAAGAAAAGAAAAAGAAGAAACGATCAAATCTGCCACTTCCAACTGATCAACCAAAATAAAATGAATTCTTATGATCATCAACAAAGCACAACATGCAGAAATACAAAACTTCACCGAGAAATATTTGTATCTGGCCTTCTGTTTCACTGATGTTTTCTTCAGTTGCTACTGTAAATTAGGCTCGAGCGAAAAAAAATTAAACACTATCAATTGTACCTTTCCATTGTTTCAAATCATCATTCATTCTTATTTTTTCTCATTCCAGATATTATAAAATCTCTAACTTCACATCTGACCGACTGATGAACTTAATAGGTGAAGCGACATTTACATTAAGGTAGCCGTTCTCATCTCCGGTCGAATCTTTGAAAATAAGGCATTCAAATTGGATGATGATAAAAATGATAATAGCAGCAGCAAGAGCAACAACAATGCTAATAAAATCACTAGATTTATAAGTTTGGCACAAAAAGGAAGTAGAGATAGATGGTTTTATGCATTTGGAATAATTCCTCAATAAAAGAATAATCCACAACTACACATAAGTAAGTTTGAATTTGTTGAAAATCCATTTCACACAAAATTAGAAGTCGAAAATACTAATAAACGATCATTTAATGAATTTGAAAAATCTCCATCTACTGTGCCTACAAAAACCAAAAATTGAAGTTACACCAGAGAATTGTTTCTTTTGTTTACCAATCCCAAAGTTGAAACTCATGCCCATGTCGCACATTTTTTGAACTACCGCCGGTATACCGCGGTACTTGAAGAAACCGCCGGTACACCGGCGGTATACCGACGGTTTTATTGAGTACCGCGGTATACCGGCGGTTTTATTAAGTACCGCGGTATACCGGCGGTTTTCTTAGGTACCGCGGTATACCGGCGGTCAGAACACTACCAAAATACAAATCTATGTATCTATACGGTTGACTATTTTTGATTCTTTAATTTAGATAATTCTCAACATAATAATGAGGAGTAAGTATTTATTACAGAATGTTTATTATTTTTCTTTTATTTAGAGTAATCTCAACTCCAAGAGGTAAAGTAAGCATTTATGTAAACTATTTGTTTCTTTCATTTAGATCGATTTTAAGATCACAATGAAAAGTAAGTACTCATTTATAAAATAACTTTTTGTTGGTGTAGAACAATATTAACAACAAAAAGAAAAGTAAGTATTTTTTCTTGCAAATTATTTTTTTTTCTTTTATTTAGATCAAATCCGAAAATGATCGACTTAACAAAACGACGAAACGAAGACGAAGCAACAATTGCTAATGGAATCTACGATTCGAAGTCTTACAAATCTAAGAAGAAATACAAATTGTCATAGTTTGCAAATTGGTTTAGTGAATATATTCATTGAAAACCCTCTTATTTTTTTATTTATATATCGAAAGTTGTTTTTGAGGAAAATGTAGTCATTATTTAAATTCTTCTCGGAAACAGTTAAATTTCACTAAAAAAAAAAACTTTCGATGTCTAAATAAAAAAATAAGAGGACTTTTTATTAAATAGGTTCACTAAACCAATTTGCAGCCTTTGAAATTTTCATTTATTCTTAGATTCGTGAGACTGAGGATCAGTTGATTCCTACCAATATCATGCCGGTATACCGCCGGTTTTTTTGCAACTACCGGCAAAACCGCCGGTTAACCGCCGGTAGAGCGCACATTATACCGAACGGTCTACCGGCGGTATACCGGCGGTTTTTTTCCGGTCCGAATCACATGGGTGCTTATCTTACTATTGTAAAAGAACCACTTACAAGATCAAAGTATTTGCTAATAAAAAAACCAATTTAAAAACTTATATTTTTTGAAATTAATCGAGTTACTAATATTCATCATCATGTTTAAATGTTACCATCAGAATTATTAAAGAATGATGGAAATGGTGAAAATAAATTTACAAAAGCATTATATGAAAATAATAAAGTTATTTATATTGCTCAACTTAAAGATGAAACTAAAAATGTTGATTTACAATTTTGTCCTAGAGTTTCAGCCTATGTATTAAAATATCCTAAAAGAACGTATTGGTTAAAATGCCATCAATCAAAAGCTAAAGAAATAAAAGATTATTAAAACTTAAAACTTTTTAAATAAAGATTATGATCTTACCATAGAATAAAATAAATAACAATGAAGAGAATATCTCACAGATATACTTATTATTTAAGAAGTATATAAAGGAAATTGATGTTCTAGATAAACAATTTAATACAATTTTTTTTCTTTATTTTTTTGCATTTTTTAAATTAATTTCTTCAACACATCGTTCACATAAACAATCGAAGAACCATTCTTTTAAAACTTTCTGTCTTATTTCTAAGTCATCATTAATAGAATTACTATAATTTATACATAATTCTTCATTTTTTTTAATATTTTTTAAAAGTTTAAAAATAATCTTTGCACCCTTTTCAATATTAATTAAATTTGGATTACATGAATGATTAAAAAATGACGCTGATGGATATAATGAATATCCAAAGAATTCTTTATTTCCATCTGGTTCATGATCAATTGACCAAATTCCATAGGCATTAGTTAATTTTTTACCAATGATTGAACGAATTATAGATGGAATAATATATGATTGAAGTTTTTCCAATGTGGAGATTTTTAAGAATTTATAAATTTTATTAGTATAGGAATAAAGTAAATAAGGATATTTACAAATTTTTTCAATATCATTTGATTGAAGAAGTTGAAAAATTTGAAGTTCTAATGAGGATAAAGATACTGATAATAACGTGTTGTTTTCACAATTATCATATTTATACATTTGAAATAGTATTCCAATAATATATCTAATTTCCATGTATTCATTTTCATTAATTTTAGGAATTAAATAAATCAAATTATTAAAGTTTTTTCTTTGTTTTGGTTTTAATTTAGATAATTGTAATTGACAATTAATTTCAGCTTCTTGCCACTTCTGAGAGATGAATAATTCAATATCTTTAGCTTGTTTTAATTCATTTTCTAATTTTAATTCAGCTTCTGTTTCCGCTTCTTCTTGTTGTTTCTTCCTTTCTAGATCATATTGACATTGATTCAATCCTTTAATGAAAAGACTTTCCACATTCAATAAACTTTCCCGATACAAATCATCTATATCCAAAGCAATAAACTTGTCCATACAAGGTTGGGAACAGAAATAAAGTGCTAATGAACAATCAGATGCAGAGGCAGATGTAGAATTATTTTTCTTATTCTTTCGTGACATTAATTTAAATTTTAAAGTTTTACCGTGTAAAATTTCGAAACAAGACCCACAAACTTCTTTTCTAAAAGGTCGAGCAATAGTTGAACTAAGTGGCATAGAACATTCATGAACAATTGTACCTTCAGCAAGATTAGTATTAGCAAAACAACCACGACCACCATACTTTGTTGGTTTTACGGAGAAATAGGATGAGATGGAATTAAGAAGAGTGGTAGCTTCATTAACTTCTGCTGATGACGCAACAGATGTGGTGGGAGAAGTGATGGTGGAACACAAAGATGATTTTTGAAGATCTAAATGGGTCAAATCATCAACCAAAGTAGACAGATCACTAGATATGTCATCATCGGGAGATTGATTCCACATAATGAAGTGAAGGTTAATCGTTTATCTACTGTAACTGGTGGATAAGTGATTCTTGTTGAAGTGCCGTGAGTTATAAAGATGTATAAGTAGCTATAGTTGGTCTTTCCTTTGTCACCAACAAAGAATAAAATTAAGGTAGATCTCAACTATATCTATTATTTCTTCTTGTCATCTGAAAATCAAATGAGAAATTTGTAAATTTAAAGAAAAAGTAAACGTCCACAAATAAAAAAAGTAAATGAAAAGAAAAGAAAAATCTTGTAAAATTAATGCGAAATTAAACCATATCTTTTCTTGGTATATTTTAAAATTATTTGATACACTGAGGGCCCAAAAAAGCATGTACTTTTTTATTTTTACACATAAAAGAATAGTAAGGATGTACTACAAATTTTCTCTTATATTTAACGTTGTAGAGCTTTTTTTGCTGATCACTCTGGTAAAAACCTTTTTGATTTTCATTGAGTAATGACAATCTTATATTTAAAATCCTAAACACTTTAGTAAAAAGTAGGGAAAAGTTTGGTACACTTTTAGTATTTGGCTAATTTTTATGTTATTACACAACATCTGAAGGATGCTCTATACATCATTCGACGCAGAATTTAATGAGCTACATACTGTTAACAAGCACTTGTACTTTTATTATAGTAAATTAATTCTTAATAAATAGTAATTAGCAATTAATTAATAAAATTTTGATTTTTTTTTAGATTTTGACTCTTTCAAATGAAAGAGCACTAAAAGCGGAACAAAATTCTATAACTACTATATGGGAAACAACGAATTTAGTGAGATTTTAGTGTGATTTTCAGAGTATTTTCAGTTGTAATTACATATAGTATTCATTATTTTTAATAAATTCAACCCTAAAACGACACATGAAATACGCGAAAACTAGCACATTTAAAAGAGCATCATTTGCTCTTTCAAATCACACCTCACCGCTTTCTCTGCAATATTCTATACAAATGTTACAATGTCTTTCGAAATATACAATGCAAAATAACAATAAAGTTACTGAAAAGTATGCCTTCAATTAGTTTTTACAGCTAAAGACGTTATAACATTTGTATAGAATATTGCAGAGAAAGCCGTGAGATGCGATTTGAAAGAGCAAATGATGCTCTTTTAAATATAACTGAAAATACTCTGAAAATCACACTAAAATCTCACTAAATTCGTTGTTTCCCATGTAGGAATTATGGAGTTTTGTTCCGCTTTTAGTGCTCTTTCATTTGAAAAAGTCAAAATCTAAAAAAGAAAAATCAAAATTTTATTAATTAATTGCTAATTATTATTAATTAAGAATTAATTAGTTAACTATAATAAAAGTAGAAGTGCATACTTTTTTGGGCCCTCACTGTAAGCAATACTTAAGGGTGCTCAAAAGTTGTGGTAGAGGTACCTTATTTTATTATAGAAAACTTGTGGAAATTTACTTTTTTATGGGGTGATAGAAAGGGGAAAAAGTAAGACTTCATACTTCACTGTATTTCACTTGTACTTCACTGCACTTCACTCGTACTTCAAATTTTTTTAAGCAGATGAAGTCTCGCTTTTTTCCCCTTATGCTTCTCTCTCTATATATAATGCCAACTGTCTATTATCTATTACAGAGTCAAGGCTAAAGAACAGATGTGAAAATTTACAGAAAAAAAGCATTCGTGCAGTACGCACGGGCTCTCGCTAGTAACTATAATATTGGATCATGTTTTCATTCATGTGCATTTTTGTTTTTGGTCGTTTCTTTGTTATTCTCTTATCCTTCTTCTTTGTTTTCTGTCTCTTTTAACTAGCTAGTGCTTCACACACACACACACATATATATATATATATATATATATAAATATATACTAAGACACTCATCCAGTTCGTTTCTTGAGTATGTGAAATATAAGTGTGTATTGATGAAATAAAAAGCTGCTGTGTTGAATTGATTTTTTTATTCTCCTACTATGGCCTATGATAGACTATGTTTACCATATTTATGAAGGATTAAAAATTAGAAGCGACGAGAAAAGAAAGAACAAAGAAACAATCAGTAACAAAAATGCACAGAGATGAAAACATGATCCAATATTTTAGTTATATCGAGTATCCCAAAAGTCTCTTCCAGTTAAACTTTTTCTATATCTTCGCTATTTAATTTCACTTTATCAACTATTGCTATTCTAAATAATAGGTAGATACACCGAGTTTTTCTTTCTAAAGACAAACTTCAGAAGTATTGCTTAAAGCTAAGACTTAAAATCGAAATACAAAAATGTAACCTCTTTTTGTATTCCCAGAAAAACTTTACGCAAAATTTCTTTTTTAATCGCTTCGGACCATTAAATGATTCAGATATTTGAGTTCTTCATCATAGAATTTCACTTTGGTATGTGTTCATATGCATGAAGTGGGAATGGATGGGAAAAGGTGGAGAGAAAAAATATTGAAAACAAGAATATGCGGTGAAGATGAACATGTAATATTGAAGTTGAGGGTAAGGAGATTTTTACTTCAATATAGTCTCGTTTTCAGCATTACTATCCATCAACATTTTTATTATTTTCGTTTTCGATATTTTTATTTTCGACATTTTTTTCTTTCAAAATTTTTCCTTTCAATCTTTTTCTATCATACCTCTGAGAAACAACTCGAGTATCATTTAGTAGCAGACTATTTTCACTTGAACAGAAGAATTTTTTAAGCGAACTTTAGAAAAAAATTATTTGCTCCTTCAAGATGCATATTCTATCCATCATTTAGAACTAGGGGTGAGAAGTTATTGTTATTTAATAACAATATCATTTTTTACTATTGTTGTTTATAACAGTTACATAACAAATAACTCTTAGTTTTTGAAATCCTAGAAACAAAGTATAACTTTCGAGGAAATAACGAATTTTTATAAGACTTGACTGAAGGTTTTCGAAATCTTGAAGTTTGATTTTTCGGTTAGGAGAAGGCTGTTTTCCGAAAATAACGTTTTTTCATAAAGTTTGATCAAAGGTTTCCAGGGTCGAGAAATCCAACTCTATAATCTGCTTATCGAAATTTTCGAGAGGGACTTTTCTCATTTGAGGAAGACAATTTTCAGTTCTCTCCGCAGAATCATATAGGACACTCTAAAACTCACTGCAGAACATGACTCCATCGCTTTTTCTTTTTTTTCAGCTTCTGGGCCTCGATTTGGTTGCCCATATTAAGTGACCAGAAAACTCGTTCTGCCGGTTTAGATGCGTTGTAGTGAAAATTTCCTCTATCTTTTCAACCTTTCTGAATCGAATAGGAGCATTCTTTAACCATCCCGAATCCCGTTCATCCTGTAACTGTACAGATACCCGTTGTAACATCTATATGCAGGCAAAATGCTCTAGAAGAGATTCGATATGGTTACAGGGATGGTCTTGTTCGATTCAAATAGTTTGGAAAGCTATAGAAAATTTTCATATCACCTCAGCACGAACCTTCTGTAGCAAACTCAAATTTTCATCCACTTCCCCTCCCCCCTTCCCCAAGTGCCTTGCATCGCACTATATGAGGTTCTGAATGGCTAGACAATTGTTCCATTCAATGCAGAAAGGTCGAAGCCCTACCCAGGTCGAAAACTCAGACGTGAGGTCGTATAAGATGTTATCAGATCTTACCCTTACAAGATTTTTTGTAGAATGGTGTCCAGTGTTGCCACCTTTTGAAGTTCGAAAAGCAGAAAATAACAGAAGTTTTATCATCGAAAAGCAGAAAGACAGCAGAAAGTATGTTTATGATATGAAACTAACGGATAACTCGTAATAAAAGAGTGTCTCAGTATTTTGTTAACATCTTAAGCATTATCTTATCTCTCACGCTCTATTTTTTCATCAAAAGATTCACCGTCTGCTTCTGCGTAAATTGCATATTTCGTTGTAAAAATACTTATTTCTTTCTCTTACGATATCACCACAATTTAAAAACAGCATTGCTCACAACTTTCAAAATCTCTTTTTTTTTTCAATTTTTTTCAAAAATATCCAGTGTGTGGGTGTGAAGTGTTAGTGCCCATGTGGGCGTGAGCTGTCCCGGTGTATGTGTAGGATTGAGGGTACGGGCGCTATTGTGGATCTTGCTGTTCATGGTTTTGTGAACCTTATTGTAGAATGTGGGTGTGTGAGCGTAAGTTAAAGAAAAATTGCCACCCACTAGCCCCCATACCCTCAGGAACATACAAGCATAAGTGGACGAGCGCCCATAGCAACACCCTCAACTATAAGGTTCCTTTTCTGAATAATCGTTATTTCTGATCAAGCAGACAAGTATCAATCAGATTGAAGAATACAAATAGGGTTGACGGAAGTGGTTTTGAAGAATAAACCAGCCAATGAAATGGGTTTATTAATATTGTTGTGGTGTGAAGGGTGTGGGTGTGGGTGTGGGTGTGGGTGTGGGTGTGGGTGAAAATTTGAGTTTGCTACAGAAGGTTCGTGCTGAGGTGATATGAAAATTTCCTCTATCTTTTCAACCTTTCTGAATCGAATAGGAGCATTCTTTAACCATATCGCATCCCTTCTAGAGCATTTTGCCTGCA